GCAAACAAAACCTATACAAACAACAATTTGTCTACATCCAACTGAAATTTGAATCATTCCAACAATTCTTGCATTTGGTAATCAACTAACTCTCAACGACTGATGGTACCATGTGAATTTATCCACCGAAACCCTTCTTAATTATCGGCAAAAAAAGAAACGAATTAAGAATGAAACGTCAAAACTGACCTTGTACGTTCGCCATACTATATCGAACAGCGTCCATTTGTGGCTTTGGAGGTATCTGAGGGCGTGGTCGAACTTTGACCCCGCCCTCAGTGCTGTTGTTCTGATGATGAGTTTTGAGTTGCTGTTGCTGCTGTTGTTGTTGTTGCTGAGGGCCATTCACTGATGGCATATTACTTGACCGTTGTTGATTAGAGGGAAGATGTCGAGTTGGAGTGATATTGGAAAGAGGATCAGGATCGGGATTGGATCGTGCGGTTGGTTGCATATTGCCATAGGTAGGTTCCATCTGCAAAGTGAACCATCCAATCAATCAAATACTTCCATTACAATCCAATGACCTTATCCCCGAACACAAACAATATTCTTCATACACATCATTATAATATCTATATCACTCGATCGCCAGTGATTGATTCATTGACTAGCAGAAATCAATAACAAACTTATGAATGGATAAATATGATAAGAACGAAAAGATCCTTTCTTAATTGCAGGAACTCTATTGGGGACAAACTTCAACATTCCAGGCAATAACTCCATTAAAATGTTGTAACTCAACCCATCAACTTACAACCAACCCTAAGGCGTAACAAGCAAACTGCTAGTTGAAGTGAAATAAGTGATTATTTGTGTGGCAAGCATAAAGTTAAGAACTGTTTCAATGCAATGGACTATTAATCGGTGTGTCAACCTCCCGCCGTCTTATCATCAAATTGTGCATTAATAAGAACACCACAAACAACTTGTTATTCCTTGATGCAAACTAATATGTTCACTGAGAATGCTCTAAAAGCGTTCCTCGCTAACGAGATGACCCGGTAACTGCACTACTGACAATAACACCGATAAACCTAGAATTATGACAACAACTTTATTAATAACAATAATATTATTGTTATTATTATCAGCTGCAAGATTTCCAATTCAGAAGCTCCCCATAACCATCGGAAAACAACTACCTTTGCTAATATAATAATCACATTATACTAATCTGCAAACTGCGTCTGCAAAACTCAGCCTCAGGGCATGAATAAATAAAAGGAGAGCAATAAAAATGAATTGCCGAAATTGTCGTTGTGATGTTATTCACTTCTGAAACAATTTATCAAAAAAAAAACAATAACGAATTACTCTCAACGATTCTCTCCTCGATCGGAATGCCATAAAATAATGTTTATGGTCAGCGAATCATTCATCTGTTATGAATGATTCGTTGACGGTATACCGAAAGAACGTTAATAATACAATTGACCTTCTGTACGGAATGCATCATGCGCGTCGTTGTGGTTGTTGATTTGTGATTTATCTTAATACAATTATTCTATCATAGTTGAAAGCGGTTGCACCCTTAGTCTCTTCATTTGATTCAATTCACTTTTTATGCGATCCTCACTCACTTCATTACTCATCTCGATCGTTACCAACCACTAAACCATATGCCATTTACTATTCGGCGCATAATCTCTGCCCAATAAACATCAACTAAATGCACTGTGTATTCGCATCTCATAATCAACTCATCCAAAGAACACATCCACTAATCTGCCGATTACAAACTCCTCGATAACTTATTTTCAACATAAACAAACAACTGCACACGGCGATCGCTTCATGCCAGCAAATGGCCTGCCTTTGTCATACATCACATCCCATTTTGTTACATAATGTGTCAGATAACAAGATCTGATTTTTTGAGTGATCATTCGAAGAATTCAGCAAAGTTCTTCATCTTGACCAGTTTTCCATACTGAATGCAGATAATAAAAATGAACGCAGTAAAATTCATTTCTCACTGTTTGCAAGTGACCATTTCCAAGTGAAAATGAACGAAGAGTTTCTTTTGGTCACAACGAATTCGCTATGTTTCCCTCACTCCGGAAGTCATTCACGAAGAGATCACACACACATAATTTCCTCATCAAGAAGATGCTCTTTTTGATATCATTAAGATTCAATGC